ACATATATACATATACATATATATATACACACACATATATACATATATATATACACACATATATACATATATATATACACACATATATACATATACATATCTACATATATATATATACACATATACACATATACATATCTACACATATATATACACATATACACATATACATATCTACACATATACATATCTACATATATACATATACATATCTACATATACATATATACATATCTACATATACATATATACATATCTACATATATACATATACACATACATATATATATATATATATATATATATATATATATATACGTATATATATTTATGTGTTAATGATGTGGAGATGGCAAATGTAAATATTTTATTTGTAATATAACATAGAAGACAGATCAAAAGTTTAATCTGAGTAAATGTAACATTTTAAAGGAAAAATATGTTGATTCAAAATTTCAGTGTCAACAAATCCCAAAAAAGTTGGGACAAGTAGCAATAAGTGGCTGGCAAAAGGAAATTGAGCTTATAACAAACAGCTGGAAGAACAATTAACACTAATTAGGTCAATTGACAACAGATTGGGTATAAAAAGAGCTTCTCAGAGTGTCAGTGTCTCTCAGAAGCCAAGATGGTAAGAGGATCACCAATTCCACCATTGTTGCGCAGAGAGATAGTGCAGCAATACCAGAATGGTGTTACCCAGCATAAAATAGCAACGACTTTTAAGTTATCTTCATCAACCGTGCATAACATCATCAAAAGATTCAGAGAATATGGAACAATCGCTGTGCGTAAGGGTTAAGGCCGTAAAACTCTACTGGATGCTCGTGATCTCCGGGCCCTTAAACGTCACTGCACCTCAAACAGGAATGCCACTGTCAAGGAAATAACAGAATGGGCTCAGGAATACTTCCAGAAGGCATTGTCAGTGAACACAATCCACCGTGCCATCTGCCGTTGCCAGCTGAAACTCTACAGTGCAAAGATCAAGCCATTTCTAAGCAAGCTCCACAAGCTCAGACGTTTGCACTGGGCCAGGGGTAATTTAAAATGGAGTGTGGCAAAATGGAAGACTGTTATGTGGTCAGATGAGTCACGATTTGAAGTTCTTTATGGAACACTGGGATGCCATGTCATCCGGACCAGAGAGGATAAGGATAGCCCAAGTTGTTATCAACGCTCCGTTCAGAAGCCTGCATCACTGATGGCATGGGGTTGCATGAGTGCTTGTGGCATGGGCAGCTTGCATGTCTGGAAAGGCACCATTAATGCAGAGAACTATGTTCAGGTTCTAGAACATATGCTCCCATCTAGATGTCATCTCTTTCAGGGAAGACCCTGCATTTTTCAACACGATAATGCCAGACCACATTCTGCAGCAATCACAACATCATGGCTACGTAGGAGAAGGATCCGGATACTGAAATGGCCAGCCTGCAGTCCAGATCTTTCACCTATAGAGAACATTTGGTGCATCATAAAGAGGAAGGTACGACAAAGAAGGCCCAAGATGATTGAACAGTTAGAGGCCTGTATTAGACATGAATGGGAGAGCATTCCTATTTCTAAACTTGAGAAACAGGTCTCCTCTGTCCCCAGACGTCTGTTGAGTGTTGTAAGAAGAATGGGGGATGCCACACAGTGGTAAAAATGGACTTGTCCTAACTTATTTGGGATTTGTTGACGGCATGAAATTTGGAAACAACAGATTTTTCCCTTAAAATGATGCATCCTCTCAGTTTAAACGTTTGATCTGTGATTTGTGTTCTATTCTGAATAAAATATTAGATGTTGGCACCTCCACATCATTGCATTCAGTTTTTATTCACAATTTGTTTAGTGTCCCAACTTTTTTGGAATCTGGTTTGTACACGGACAGGGCTAAAAAAAAAAAAAAACATTACTGAGGAATGCAGTAATTTACGATAAGATAAATTTACAATGTTGTTTTTCCACAAAAGAATACAAAATGAAATTATGATTGTGATGAGTTGTTTTACTAAGGACTGTGTTACTGCATTTTAGAAAAAAAAAAAAAAAACATGCTGCCAAGACACAAGAGAAGTCTGGTAACAAATAAAAGAATTAAGAAATTTAATGTGTGTTTGTGGACTTACAGTCTGGCTTTCAGGAAAATCCATCTTAATCAGTTTGTGAGCACACTCCTCAAAGTCCAAGCTGTAAAAAAAAAAAACATTAAACGTAAAATTAGAGAGACAGACAGACAGACAGACAGACAGACAGAGAAGGAGATTTAAAGTGTACCTGGACTGAATAGCGAGGTAAATGGTTCTTCTGAAAGCAACCAGGTTGACTTCTGTTTTGTCAAAGATGGTTACCTTTTCACCTGAGAGGGAGGCACATCATATTTTTGCTATTAAATAGTAAATGCAGTTATCAAAGAGGCAATTGAACTTGTTCTCAAAATCTGGACTGTCAAAAAATTTTAATTAATTATTAATAAGAGTTTATTGCTCTTTTTGAAGTAGAATTGTCAATTTTTCTACGTTGTAGAAGAATTCTCTGATTTTATTCACATAAATTATGAATTTACAAAAACAAGAGTACCACAAACGGCACATTTTACGTATGTCAACTAAATATAACACTTTAAATAGCTATGGCCCAGACAAGCAAAAACCCAGTTTAACTTTGACCTTGATTTGCGACCTTGACGCTAATTGATGAAAAGTGTACACGACATGCTGTCTTGTGATCATGTGACCGTGTATGAAAAATTAAGTTTCTTTTGGCTGCTCCCTTCTTCAGGGGTTGCCACAGTGAGCAAACTCACATGAAACCTTTGGCAACTGCTTTATGCTGGCTGCCCTTCCCCTGATCTAACCTGGGCTTGAACCCGCAACTTCAAGATTACAACAACGCAGCACTGATATCTAGGGCTGCAACAACGAATCAATATAATCAATAAAAATCAATAAAAATCAATTATTAAAAATGTTGGCAATGAATTTCATTATCGATTCGTTGTGTCACGCGATTAAGCGTCTTTCACGGCGCTGCGGAGCTGTTTTGTTCACATAAAGAGCACTGTCAATGCTGACTGACTGAATAAAATTAAATAAAACTTTGCAGTGCGAGTTGAACAGAGCGAGGGGGGAGGTGGAAGCAGAGCAGAGGCGGTGTTTTTGAAGGAATTTAAGTAAATTTTACAAAATGACCGACACAGAGAAAACTGTTCAATCCAAGTTCTCCAAAGTGTGGGAGCTCTTGATGCTTCACAAAGATAAAAACTGTGCAACACACAGTTTTGAAAAAGTGACGACATGACATGGGAGAACCACGCTGATGAAACTTAAACATGTTAGTCGTAAACTAACTTCACCGCGGTGTGGATGAAGGAGCTCAGCAGCAGATACCAGAGCCCTATAAAGAGAGAGTTGCGACACTCCCATAGACTCCCATAGAAAGAATGGAATGCAGAAGTCACGTGGGTCATGCAGCGGCAAATAGTTCCAGCAGATGTTCAGCATTGAACGTAGATCATTCTCCGTGTATTCTCCGGTAAGTTGATGCAAATGCAACACTTTTTTGCCATTGTGAAGCGTTATCCGACTGTTCTGTACCACAATTTATCAACATTAATACTTCATGTTGCCAGTTTTAGTTAATGAAACATGTTAAATTGCTAGTTGTGTTTTAACTGCAGCTGCTCTATTCAACGTTTTAAAATATCTATTACTGCTTAAATTTTGAAAGGTGGTCTTTTTTAAATTTATGGTAATTCCAGTTACTGCACTCAACTAGAAAATATTTGGCCTTTTTGTTCTGAGAGATTCGTTCAACCTTTATTTCTACAGGTAAATCCTATTGAGCCTCGAGGACTCATTTACAAGAGAGACCTGATTTCAACAAAGAATGATGACAACATGACAACAAGATTGATGTAATTTAGTTAAAGTTATAGATCATTTGTCAAAGACTGCAACATAAATTGTGACATTACCATTAAAGAAAAACATGATTGTGGAGATGAGTCAATTTTTTTTTCATGTTTTGCAGGTAAACCACAGAATGACTTCTTGAACTGAATGTTGCATTCAAAGTATCACAAAGGTACAAGATCTAGTTTTCTGTCTTCCCAAATCAATAACAGCTTAATCAAGATGTTTGAATAAAATTACTTTAACACCATAACCTTCACAAAGTTGGTATTTACTGCAGGACTGTTAATTTACAGTTGTTTTATATTATTAGTTTAGCGTATGGGTCATGGGTCAAGTTGAGAAGAGACTCTTTCAAGACAGAACAAGAAATAAGAATTATTACAAGAACATATTCTCTTTTTAATTTTACTCATTGATTATTGTTGTTAAGCACTTTGATAACAGGTTCTGTTTTAAATGTGCTCTTTAAATAAAGTTGACTTGACTATCACAGGTACATTGAGATGGAGCTGGAAGTTATTCTTCATGCCAGTTGTCTTCATCTGATCTTTTGTAAAAATATGTCAGAATTTATTTTCCATTAACATTTTTCTTCGCAGGACTGCGTTAATTTTCTTGTCTGAGTTTCTTCTGTCCTGCTTATGTATTTTTTGTGTTCTAATTGTTCCCTTAGGTTGTTCATCTCTGTTCCCTGACTGCCAGTTGATCCATCCTCCTGGTCCTGTTGATCCTGGATCATCAGATCCTGACATGTCCCTGTCCTCTGAGGACACATTTTCATCTTTCCCTCATCTCACTCGCCTCATTTCTGTTTCTTCCTTCCTCAGTCTCTGAAATTACAATGTCACTGTTAGAATGAAGATTATTGTTCAATAAAAAATATGACATGTCTTATTTAACACTGTTCGTACCAAAGTTTAATTTAGAACAATATGTGTGATCACTGGTCAGATCACTGGTCAATGGATCAACATGCAGTGGAAGTTCTGCTGTTCTTCTCATCTGGTTCTGGTCCATGAACAAATGGTTGAACCTTCTTCAGTCTCACACGTCCTCACTGTGTCTCTGTAAACTGCCCTCTCTCTAAATGTGCCTGTAGAGTGACATTAGTTTATTTTCTTGCACATTTCTTTGACAGTTAAACTTTTGAGCCCAGATTGAAAATGTTTGTGCAGATTAAATGTACAGCTCTCACTTTGTGTTGTTGTGATGATGATGATGGTGCTCCTGTTGACTTAAGATGATGTAATTAATAAACAGTATAAATGGCAGTAAAAGTACTTTATTAAAGCTTGTTTTACATTTTACATATTTTATAATAAATTGTTTGGAAATTTATTTTTGCACAATTAACACTTATTTTGTCATCTGTTATGATTTTAACTAGAAACAGTTTCATTTAAATTAACATTTTAATCAATGAATTACAATTTTACAATAGTTGTCAGGCTGCTCAAGCACAATCAACTCAGTTATCGTACTTGGTTGCCGTAAAAAAACGACAAATAGAACAATTATATTCAGTCTCTCTTGTAAATGAGTCCTTGTGGCTCAATAGGACGAACCTGTTTAAATAAAGGTTGAATTAATATCTTCTATAGAAATCAAGAATTCATCCAGATGATCTAAGGTAAGCTGGAACAGATCTGAACTGCAGGCATGGAGGACAAGGTGGAGCATTATCCTGCAGAGAACATCAGAAATGGCTTTATAATAGGTGTTACTCTGATCTTTTTTTAACGTGTGTAACGTTATAAAACACTGTCATGGCTATATTGATCATTGTATTGCATATACATTTTTTTTTCTAACAAATATGTGTTTGCAATCTCGTTTCCTTCTAAAATGTAATGATAAATGTATCAGCCGCTTCTAAAAATGCTTTGATAAAATGCATAGTCTGTGAAATAATCAATAATTTTGTTTGTTACTGCTCAGTAATTACTGAAAGACATCAGGTAAAGTAATAAAAGTCCATTTTTGTGTTATGTTGCGCCAGCAGCCGCTCAAACTGACTGACAGCGATGAACTGGTTTGAACTATTGAGATCCTTACATGATCGTCACTGACATGAGGCCTCTGTCGATGGTTGAAGATGAAGACTTCACTACAATGATCCACACTTTTAATCCAGGTTACAATAATCCACACTTTTAATCCAGGTTACACTCTTCCCTCAAGGACACATTTTACAAAGTAGCTACATATTGTGCAGGTATAAAGCATACATTTGTATATATTTTTGTGTACATATATTTTTTATTGAAGCTATTTGACTAACTTTTTATTTTTTACTATTCAATATTTTACTAACAGAATAGTCAAGTAGCAACCTGTTTTTTGTGCGATTTGCTATGTCAGTCAAATTTTGGAATAAAGAGGTGGAAATTAAAACATTTTTGTTTGTTTTTTGCCGATTCATCGATTAACAAAAAAATTAATTGTCCAATTAATCGATTATTGGGGGGAAAAAACATTAGTTGCTGCCCTACTGACCACGAATCTGCAGCCACTAAACATGTATGAAGTTTCATTAAATTATCTTGAGGTGATTAGAAGTTATGGGCTGGACAACAGACAGTTTACGGCTGTATGGAGACTGTACCATAAAACATCAACCATTTGAAGGTGTATAACAAAAAATGGAATAACCGCATAAGAATAAGTCCGGTGAGCGAACGCTGGCGCATCCTGGCTGCCGCTGCTCGTCGTGCTTTTTTTTTTTTTTTTTTTTTTGCTTTTTTCTGTTTTATTCAATCCTTCCTGCCTTTTCCCCTACACCAAGTCTCTTATCTGTCTCAATATCAGCCATGCGGTTCATTAGGATTTACCTGCTGCCTGCTCTGCTTTGGACTCTCCAGCTGCTCCACCACCACCCGGCGTCTGGTCTTCTCCATTACTCAGCGGTCGAGCTCCTTCGCCTTCGTTTCCTACCAGCCGTGCCACCTGTGCGCCCTCTTCAGGACATTGCCTTCCATCCTCGCCGGAGATACATTCACCGTGGCTCCCGCCGTAGACTCCACGCTGACAAGTCTAACCCCATAAACTCCATCTGGTCTGACTCTCACCATTCTACAAGCCGCAATACTCGGGCCGCTAACAGTAATAGCATGTTAGCTAGCCTAGCTCGGTCAGCTAATGCTCTGGTCGCTACCAACTCCTCCTCCGTAAAGTTTGGCCTTCTGAACGTTTGCTCACTCACTGGCAAAGGTCAGCTTATTCAAGACCTAATATCCGACTGTAAACTGGATTTTATTTGTCTTAACAAACGTGGCAACAACAAAATGACTTTTTCCACCTGAATGAATCTACCCCACTGGGGTTTGTTTACATCGCCAAATCCCGCGAGTCCGGCCGCGGAGGAGGTCTCGCGATAATTCACCACGAGAACTGGAAGGTCACGCTGGTTCACACACCTCCCTCTCCCTCCTTTGAGCACACTGTGTCTACTCTCCGGCCCTACCCCCACCATTGTTGCCACTTTCTACCGTCCGCCCAAAATCAATAACTCTTTTATAAATGACTTTGCTGCTCTAATCGCCCACCTCTCAGCTCTTTCACCCAACATTAATCTGCTTGGAGACTTCAACATTCATATGGATGAAGACAACAACCCCCTCACCAGAGACTTCACATCCTGCCTCGACAGCTGTGGCTTCCAGCAGTTCATTAACTTTCCAACCCACATAAAGGGCCACACTTTGGATTTATTATGCTGCTCTGGACTCTCTCCTCTTAACTGTTCTTCTGATGAACTTCCATTTACTGATCACCTCATGATTTCATTCAGTGTCAATCTTAAATTTTCTTCAGAGAAACCTCCACACACTCTTTCCTTCTGTAATATTAAGAATATCAACCATGACATTCTTTTGTCTCATATTAATAATACCATCTTCACCTTCAATTCTTTTAACCCAGATGACCTTGTCACATTCTACAATAACAGCCTCACCAACACCCTTAACTCTGTCGCTCCTCTGAAAACCCAGTCTGTCTCCTTCTCCAACTCTGCACTCTGGTTCACTCCAGAACTCTGTTCTCTGAAATCCAAAGGTAGGAGGTTGGAGCAACTCTATAAGAAATCCGGTCTCTCAATTCACAAGGAACTCTATGCGAACCACGTCATCCAGTATAAGGACAGTATTTCTCAAGCCAAATCCAGCTACTTCTCTGACATCATCAGTTCCAATGTTGGCAATTCAAAGACTTTGTTCTCTCTCCTTAACCGCTCAGTCTCATCTCCTAACTCATTACCCTCTCACATGGTTTTCACAGAATTTTGCAACTCTCTGATGTCCTATTTCAATGAAAAGATTCTTTCAATTCATAAACACCTTGGACCTAATACCGCCCCCCCAGCATCTATGTTGAAGTCCCCCCTCTTTCCCTCCGCTTCTCTGTCTTCTCCCTCCCCTCTGCTGATGACATTGCTGACATTATCAGCAAGTCTAAGTCCTCATCCTGTCAGCTCGATCCATTTCTCACAGTTCTTGTTAAATCCTGTCTCCCGTCTCTGCTCCCCATCATCACTAACATCATTCACTCCTCCCTAACCTCTGGCATTGTTCCCACAGCTTTCAAATCTGCAGCCATCACCCCCATCATCAAGAAACCAGGTCTTGACTTTACCAACTTCAGTAATCTTTGTCCAATCTCTAATCTGCCCTTTATTTCCAAAGTTCTTGAAAAAGCCGTTGCTAGTCAACTTCACTCTCACCTATCCAACAATAACATTTATGAAGAGTTTCAATCTGATTTTCGCCCCCACCATAGCACCGAAACGGCTCTAATAAAAATAACTAATGACCTTCTTCTTGCTGCTGACTCTGCTCTTCTGTCTATCCTCATTTTACTGGATCTAAGTTCTGCCTTCGACATAATCTGTCATTCTGTCCTCCTCAACAGACTAACCTCCATTGGCATCTCAGGTACTTCGTTAGACTGGTTCAAATCTTATCTCTCTGACCGCACTCAATTCATTCAGCTCAAATCCTTTTGTTCCCAGTCTTCCTCCGTCTCCACGGGTGTCCCCCAAAGCTCTGTCCTCGGAACCCTCCTCTTCATCATTTACCTCCTTCCTCTAGGTCACATCTTCCGTAAATTTGGTGTCCATTTTCACTGTTATGCTGATGACACACAGCTCTACTTGTCAACAAAACCAAACTCCACCCACCCACCCTCCATCCTCACCGACTGTCTCAATGAGCTAAATCACTGGTTTTCTAACAATTTCCTACAACTAAACAGTAACAAAACAGAAATCATTCTTGTCGGTACCAAAAACACTCTTTCAAAATCAGAAAATCTTCTCATCCCCCTTAACAACTCCCTGCTATCCCCATCGCCTCAGGTCAAGAGTCTTGGTGCCATCCTCGACACCACTCTCTCCTTCACTTCACACATCAACAATGTCACTCGGTCTGCCTATTTCCATCTCCGAAATATTAACCGTCTCCGCCCTTCTCTCACACCCCGCTCCACAGCCATCCTTGTTCACAGTCTTGTGACTTCTCGGATTGACTACTGCAACTCCCTTCTTTATGGCCTCCCCAACAAATCTCTCCGGAAACTGCAATTGGTCCAGAACTCAGCTGCCCATGTCATAACTCAAACCTCCTCCTATAACCACATCACTCCTGTCCTGCAGCAGCTCCACTGGCTCCCGGTTAAATCACGCATCGTCTTCAAAATTCTTCTTCTCACTTTCAAAGCTATCCACAACCTTGCCCCTCCGTACCTATCTGACCTCCTACACATCTCCATCCCCTCTCGCTCTCTCAGATCCTCCTCTTCACTACACCTCCATGTACCCTCTGCCTGCCTCTCCACCATGGGGAGCAGGGCCTTCACCTGCTCTGCCCCTCATCTCTGGAACTCTCTACCCCCTGACTTAAGAAACAACACCTCTCTTTCTATATTCAAGACTGCTCTGAAAACACATCTCTTTAGACTTGCTTATCCTTAACTTTGCTGTATGTATTTTATATTCTTTATGCATTTTATATTCTGTATGCATTTTATATTCTTTATGTATTTTATATTCTTTATGTAATTTATTCCTGTTGATCTTTGTTTTTACTGTAAAGTGTCCTTGGGTATCATGAAAGGCGCTTTTTAAATAAAATGATTATTATTATTATTATTAAGATGGACCAACAGACTGAGCAGCGGTTTAACAACAAAAGCTTACTGCTCATCTAAATTTTAAGCCGTTAATGTTTTATCTTTGTCTCTCAAATTTTGTAAATACAGAAAAATGGACAGGGGAGGAACTACTTTGTAGGGTTTTATGTTTTGAACATCAGCTGGTACTGACTGAATTCACTCAAGACGATGCTTACAGACTTTGGTCAGTTGGCTCAGCTCAGCTTAGCAAAGAGCATCCTCCAACACTGAACACTACTGCCCAAAGGTTTTTAACACACAGAAATGATAAACAACCCCAACACTGCACTACATTATATAAATGCATTTTATACAACTGTACAAAAACTCTGACTCCTTTATCTTACCTTCATCTTCCTCCTCATTTGCATCTTCTTCATCTTCATCTTTGTCGCTGCTGTCCCCCTCCTCCCCTGAATCGCTGCTACCCTCATCTAGAATATCTGATGGAGGCAACAGCCGATTGGTTAGTGAGGTGATACTTCACTGATGGCACAGAATGTGAAGTTTTCTTACCTCTTTTAATTGTTTTATATTTCTCCTCGTTCTCCAGGAAGTCTGGGTCCATCTTAAACACGTCTGTATAAACACAAACATATTTTGGCTGCCTTGTAGTGTACATTAACGGATACTAATTTATGTAATCAAATGTAAAGTTACTCAGCCGCATCTTACTGAGAATGTCCTCAGGGTTGTACTCGTCATCCAGTGGGAGCATGTGAGTGAACTGGTCATCCTCATCCACGAGGTCCAGGCCTTCTGGGATGACTGGGTGATCTTTGAAACCATCTTTCCTGATGGCAAACATCACTTCAATCATGTACTGGACCCTTTTATCAATGGTGGATTCATGGAGGATATTCCTGAGTCTTTCAAATATGGCTAGAAAGAAAGAAACATGGACAAATTAGAGAGACAGTTCTGTTCAGCTGAACTGATGTTTTACTTTGGAATTTGTCATTGTTGATAGCCGTATGATCACTTGACCCAAATAAGACAAGTTTTCACTAGAAAAGTCCCAAATCATAAAACCATCTTCTTAACATGAAGATACCTTTACAAATGGTTTTGGTTTTCACTAATGCATTTACTGTCAAATCAATAATTGGAATAAAGGTTGGTGTGCTGTGATCAGGGTTATCAGCTCTGCTAAGTGAAGCAACATGGTTTCCTAACACTTGTTTCTCTTTTCAAAATTACTGCCTAAACCTGAGAAACTGATTTTGACTTTTATATTTCTCAGTTTCTTGTTTTAATATGTTGCCAAACTCTCACAAAAACACAGCCTCTCCACAAAGATTAAAAAAAAAATCAGCCTGGAAAACTTTAGTTCTATTTCATCCCTCCTGACCACCAGAGGGCGGTGCTGAAAGCACTGAATGTTCCCTTCGCGCATGCGCTGTTCGAGTAATGATATCAACGGAGTCACAGGTGTTACATGGATGACCAATCAGAGGCTATATAGCCTGACGTCATCCGCAGCTCTGCTCCTTTTTTCTTCTCGTGCGCGGTTCAATTCAGGGCTTCAGCCCTTTGGACCTTTTTTGAACTTTTTACCGTCGTCGGAAGCCCGACTGCCCGTCAGCTTGAGTAGCGTGTTCGCCTTCCTAGAAGCTGTGACGGCTTAACCCTGTTCAAAGGTATTTTCTGCTGATTCCTTGGGGACTACGGCGGTTTCTGCCTCTCCCAACTTACAGCGTCTGACTACTATGTGTGTGATTCAACATCGGTGAGTAGTGTTTTTTCTTATATTTTGCCTTTGGTTAGCGGTAGCGTTCGCTCCGCTCCCGTTTGTTGGGAGGCCTCCAACCGCGTGGTCGGCTGGACTGTGCTCCGACGTTGTTTATGACTACTATGCTATTGGTTAGCGGTAACATTCTCTCCGCGCCTGTTTACTGGAGGCCTCCAACCGCATGGTCGGTTGGACTGTGCTCCGAAGTTTGCTTATTACATAGCCAGCTAAGTTCCTGGCCTTGTTTTCATTGGTGAAGGCTAGCGTTTTTCGCACCCTCTCCCAGTCATTTTCTCCAACCTCATAGATTGTTGGGCCGAGCTAGCGGTGCTAGCCTCTCTGAGTTCTGGCCTTGTTTTTAATTGGTGAAGGCGAGCATTCGTGCCCCCTCTCCCAATTGTCCTCTCTTACCAGCTGAGCTAGCGGTGCTAGCCTCTGTGATTTTTGGCCTCGTTTTAACTGGTGAAGGCGAGCGTTCGTGCCCCCTCTCCCAATTGTCCTCTCTTACAAGCTGAGCTAGCGGTGCTAGCCTCTCTGAGTTCTGGCCTTGTCTTTAATTGGTGAAGGCGAGCGTTCACGCCCCCTCTCCCAATTGTCTTCTCTTACCAGCTGAGCTAGCGGTGCTAGCCTCTCTGAGTTCTGCCCTTGTTTTAATTGGTGCAGGCGAGCATTCGCGCCCCCTCTCCCAATTGTCCTCTCTTACCAGCTGAGCTAGCGATGCTAGACTGAGTTCTGGCCTTGTTTAAATTGGTGAAGGCGCGCGTTCGCGTCCCCTCTCCCAATTGTCCTCTT